AAAAAAAAAAAAAAAAACAAGAGTTGATACCGCGGTTTATGTGCGTCAGATTTCTAGAGATGACGCCACGTAGACCGCTGACCTTATTACATTACATTGCATTACAGTAGCTATTGTCGATTGACATAATTAAACTGACAGCGATCCTGTGCTCGAGCTTCACTACCATAATATTTAAATAGCAAGAATGTACATTTCGTAAATCAGTTAATCAAACGAATGTGCTGTTTTATTCGATCTGGCTATGTAGCTCGTAAAGTAGCTCGGACTCGAGAGACTCGTAATTTTGTTTCATTCATTGAATGAAATTAAAGACCAGTGTTCTATCCCTTATTTTTTAAATTTCTATCGTATCGAGTTTTTCTACCTTAAATCGCGTCGACTGTGCTTCCCTATAATATGTACGATGAAATTTACAATTATCAAATATTTGCCTCTAATTGCACTAAGTCGTATATTTCGATAAAATTTATGTTGCGGCAATGATCAACCATACTATCCGGACACACGTACACACGGGAGAGAGAAGGAGGGGAAGAGGAAGGGAGAGACGATTAAATGCAGGAAAATAAATTGCGAGACCGGCCTCGGGCGGCCGATCGGGCATTGTCTCTGGCGTCTCGATGACTAGTTACCGAGTTATCCCGAATCGAACGCCTGGAGGGAGAGTCCGGGGCCCGGTAATAGCACCAGGCTGCTGCTCGGGGAACCGTAATGTCATAATAGAATAGCGATGTTAGTAATAGCATCGCGTTGCACCGGCGTAGGCAACCGGCCGATTGACTGGTTCGCGCAGAGAGAGGCCCAATTTGCATCGCATTGCGTGTATTCGTTACGCCTTCGTCCGCGCGTTCCTGCGTCTACGTGCTGTGCGCCCTGGTTGTACGCGGGGCGGTAGCGACTGCGGCGTCGCGTCGCCTCGCCGCGCGCATCGGCCATCCCGACGGCTAAACCGCCGCCGTTCCGGCAATCAGCGCCCTGGGAGAACCGTGGAAACCGCGGAAACCCCTAATTCAATTATCGTTTCTGGCATCGTTATCGTTATTAGTCGCTCCATCGGCAGACTAACGGGCAAACCAACTTCTTGCGGGCTTGATTGTCTCTCCTTTCCCCACGTTTATTACTTT